TGTGGGCCATGGCAGGGATTCTAGGTTCTGTTCTATAGAGATAAATTCTCCTCTATGTCTCCAAAATGCCTCTACATACTTGCCATTTTATGTTAAGGAGCTCATTTGTCCTAGCGGGTACCTAAACTTAGAGCCATCCAGAAGCCAGCACTCTTAAGCACAGTATCAGCTCTGCGTCCATGATTGGACGTGCTCAGGGTATTCACAACTCCTCTCTGTACTTATCTGTAGTTTGGGAGTTGAGAACTGGGAGCTTGGGATGACTAATCTTCATTGCCAACTTGACTGCGCTTAGAGCCACCTAGGAGTCACACCTCCGGGCATGTGTGTGAAAGTATTTTCAGACAGGATTGGTGGAGAAGGAAGGACCCCGCCCAAATGTGGGTGACACCATCCATGGGATGGGGGACCAGACAATCAAAGGAACAAAGGAGCCGAGCATCAGCATTCATGTGTCCCACAGTGGAACAAGGAAAGTGGTTGGTGACGCTCATACCTTGGACTGAACTGTTCCCAACTGCCACGCCTCATCCCCTTGAGCCCTAGTCTAAAACAAAACCTCCCCAAGTTAAGTTGCTTCTGTCTGTGATTTCTGTCACAGCAGCAAGGGGAATAATGACTACAGAGTTGCTGCCCATTCTGTGGGAGAACAGTTAAGGAGCATATCTGTTTGCCCTGTATCAGGGCTTGGCATCGTCGTAAAAGATGCCTGCTTTATTTGAACAGACTTAGTTGCCATCTTAAATAATTCATTAGGAAATCTAATTTCTAATGGGAGCCTTCAAGACAACAGAGTCAATATTAGACTGGGCCAGGAAGAAGAGGACATGGGAAGAACAGCTGGGGCAAAGTCCCTTTAATAACTGATCTGACATCCAAGCCCTTCTCTCTTGTTCCTCCTTCCCCAGCTCTATGCTTCCTTTCCCATGGCTTCTATTACCATGGGACATTCTACTGACACAGTTTACTCACTGAGTTTGATTGTCATTTGCCAGATGCCTTTGTACCCTGCCACACGCAAGCTTCGCCAGGCCAGGGAAGGCTTTATGTTCCACTTACTGAGGAATCTTGAATATCTAGAAAGGCATCTAGGAAACATTTCTTGACCCAATCTGTGGCCTCCACTTCCCCTTTGGCTCCTTCCAGTCTTTACTCCCTGAGTCTTCCGACATTTGGGAAGATCAAGTGAAATGATGCCTTACAGACCCTGAGCTCTTGGGTGAGGTCAGAGCAGGGGTGCCTCATGCATACCTGTGTTATTGCTTTAAAATGGATGGAGCCTCACACAATTTTGTCAGATGGTGCTCTGTTTCCTCACAGAGGGTTCCTCCTTTTCCTCCACAGCTCTGCACACACATGAGTATGTGTGCGTATGTGTGTATGTGTGTGTGGCCTTGTAATTTCCATCTAAGCTGAGCTGTTGCAGAGATGGCTACAAGTGTGTGAAAACGGGGTACCTAGAGCAGCCTGACAAGACTTAGTGAGGTGCTGTGTCCCAGCTTCAAGGTGGCTGTTGTCTAAGCCATCCCGATCGGTTACTTTCTCAGCCTCAGGCATCACTCGAATCTCAGCTCCGGTGGGGAATGGCCCATTTTCCTAAAATAGTTGATGTGGCATATTGGACTTCTGGCTGGAAAGAAGGCCTTTTGGGAGCTGAATTCTTAGACATCATGTGTTCAGCCATCACATCACGTTCTGCACACCAAGAAACTGGGACCCAGAGAGGTTGAGTAACGGTGTCAGGGTCACACAGCTGCCTTTTTAAGTCTGAGGGCATTTCCTCCATAGGTATCAAGACTTCCTGAGTTGACGTGCGTGTGGAAACAGGTTGAGTCAAACATAGCCCTTGGCAGCTGGCTGGATTGCTGAGGGAACTCAAGCTGACCGCAACCAGGGTTGTAGCTTCCTTGTCAGGGGTGCTTGGCCTCATTGACTCAATCCATTCCCCACCTCCTCATTCTCTGGCTCCTGCCTCCTCTGCCTCCCAGGGTAGTGAAAACTCTCCTCAGAGCTGCTTCTCATCTGATTGCTTCTGAGTGCTGGAAACACAGCACTAATTAATGTGTCTGTGACTCTAGGCTTGGCTGCTGGGCTGGTCCCCATGCCCTCCCCGGAGCCAGGCAGACTTGGAGAGCTGGCCCCCCAGCTTCTTTGAGCGCGCTGCTGGCAGAAGCATATTCTAACGGAGCACAGCTGCTGGCTATATAATCTCTCGTATTTGCCCTCCTCACTTGGCGCTTTGACGGGAGACCTCCCGGGGCCTCCCTGTGCTCCAGCCAGAGTGTTTGCTTTGCGATTTTGCCGGAATACCATCTGATTCTGCCCTCACATCTTCCGCAGGTTCTAATCAAGCTCTTACTTTATTTAATTAAAAATCCATCTCAGGCAAATACAGAGTAAATTAGGAAACTCTCCTATTCCTGGAACACAGGGAAGGCCGCCCACCTCAGGGAACTGGCCCAGACACTGTCCTGGGCTGAGATGTCACAGCAGAGCAGGTGGAGGGGCTCTGTGGGTCGGGAAGGCTTTAATAACCTTAAGAATCCTCAACAGCCACTGCATCTGTCTCATCCTGAGACCAGGACCCTTTCCAGTGGCCATTTTAACTTCAGGTTAGGGGCAGTATGCGGGGATGTACATCTCTAGGAGCTTAGCCAGGCGGAATCCTGCTGGACTAGAGGTGATCTACAAGACTGGGAGAGGCCCCGAGACTCCCTGGGGTGGGGAAGTGGGGATTCTTCACCCGTGGAAAACAGCTGAGGCCAGGAATGTGGAGCCTCAAAGCATCAAGGAGGCCTCCAGGCAGAGCCTGGCAGCCTTTTCTGGCCCAAATCCAGTTTGCTTAGGAGAATGGCCGATGTAGGAGATGCCAGCCCGAGCTTCCTTTCTGTCTGCGGGAATCGTCTCAGAGTCCTGTTAGGGCCTTTGTAACTGGTCACCCTTCCTGTTGACCTCCAGGCTTGAACAAACACCTCACCCACACAAACCTAGCTCTGTGCCTCAGGCACAATGCCAGGCCAAAGCCATGACAAATACAGAGAGAGAGAGAAGAGTGGATGTCTTTTAGAGGTGACCCCCAAAACAAAATTGGGCCTGTTTAGGTTGAATTCTGAGGCCCTGCCCTGAGAAGCCTGGCTTTTAACCAGGTGGACAGATGACATCCTGCTGGCGTTTGAGACCAGAAGCCTGGGCAAAGAGTGCTGGTCAGGAGCTGGAACTGTGGAATCAATTTTAAATGTTAATCAAACTGTGTGACCTCCTGGGCATGCCTTTGCCTCTCTGAGTCTCTCCATGAGCATATCAGTAAAGCACATGGAATAATCTGGAATTTCAATACGTTGTTGATGAACTGAGATAGCAGGGAACAAGGAGGCTTGACTGGTGAGTCGTCTGTACTCTGAGGACAAGGTGGTATCCTGTTTTAGCTCCCACACGCAAGCCTTCAGAGGAATGGATAGTGCTTAGGTCCTCTCTTTCTAGCGTTCTCTGGCAGCCCCATGGAGGGGTGTGAGGGGGCAGGGGAAGGCTTCCTGAACACAGGGACTGAGCGGTCTCTGAATGTGAACATCCTACAGCTTCACTTGGCAGATGTGTTCTGCCCAAATCGGGAAACATACATGGTCCCCGTGTCTTCCCCAGCTTTCCCCCAATCCTATAATTGTGGACCCATTCTCAATTTAGCCGCATCTCAAGGGGGGAAAGAAAACAGCTACTGCTCTCTATAGTGTCCTTGTCTGTCCTCTAACACACACCCTGCCTGGCCCCGGCCCCCAGACCATCTATTCCACAGAGGGTTTCTTTCCCGCCCCTTTTGGGCCAGGCTGGGTTGTGGTGGGCGAGGGTCTGATGCCCACCTTTCCAACCTCAGCCTAGGCCGACTGCTATCTGGTCCTCTGTGGTCTGTCTGTTGTTGCACTTGGAATCATGCACCCCCCGTGTTCAGCTGTGTAGATCTGACGGTACCCTGACACACTCTTAAATATTTCATCTCAGAGCGTGAGCAGTGTCCCAGCTGCTGACCCTGTCGTCGGAGCTCCATAGCAGCTTCCAGCAGGCTGCCAAGGCCAGGCGGGGGCTTCCCTCTCTCGCCGGCCCAGGGTTCATCTACATGTGCCTGGAGATCAGAGAGGAAACCTTATGGGGCTAGGGAGGTGGAACCAAGAGCTCCGGCAGGGGGATGCTGGTCTAGGCCTTTTGCTTCTCTGAGCCTCAGTTTTTCGCCTGCACTAACAATCCCTGATCCAGTCTGGAGGAGCTCTGAGAGCTGCTGGGAGCCACTTTGCAGCTATGAATGAGCATCACTTATGTGTGAACTGTTTCCCCACAGTTCCCTTTTCTGGAAGACCTGGCCAGAGGAAGGAGGTGACAGGGCCGAGCTCTCAAAACTGGGAAGCTCAAGGAGCCACTGAGCAAATCCCCACATCTTCAGACAGGTCTGTCCCAGTGAGGGCTGTCCCAGGAACATTTGAAACAAAGACCAAAGGGGAAAATGGTTAGAATAAGGCCCTGAAGTGAAATCTCATTGGGATGACCTGAAAGAACTGGGATTGGGTCTTTGGTGATTCATGAAGTCATGGAGGACCAAACCCGAGGCTTCTTCTTGAGAGAGGTCAGGGCATGCAGAGCTTTTCTGGCCCCTTTGGAGGTTGGCCTTGGAAGAAAGGCCACTCATACCATGTACATTCTCTTCTGAGCTTGCATTGCTGCTACAGGCCTGGTCTCATTTACACAGCTGAGCACCCAGGATCCTCATCTGCTTGCCAGTGTGCAGCCAAACACACTGGGTGGGAGAGTGACAGGTGGTGGCAATATGATTTCCCAAGGAGGAGGTCTTTTTCAGTCCCCTTGGATGGGAAGAAAGAGGAGCGGGCAGGAGTGGGGAGGACCAGACGGGAAGATAGCCAATGGAAAGCGTCCCTCTAGCTTTGTCAGAAGGGCCCGCCAGTAGCCAAGCCCTTGGTGTTTCCTTGAGTCCTTATGTTTGTGCGCAGGTGACTTACCCAGGACTGTGAGGCGCGCGGGGCGGGACCGGATGGCAGCTTGGATGGCCTGGCACTCGTACACGGCGTCATCCTGCAGCTCGGCCCGCAGGATCTTCAGGTGATGCTCTCCTGACAGGTGGTTCCCCACCACCAGGTACTGGGGGTAACCTGGGGAGAAAGCAGGAAGTATGAGTGATTGAGGGAGTCCCGTGGCTGATTACCGGTGCCTATTTGGAGATGCTGTGACCCCTTAGATGGAGTGGCTCCAGAAACTCTTGGAAAAGGAAATGCACATCTAGTGAGTGGTGGCTCGGGCAGAGTTCTTCCAGTCAGAGTTCCTCCCTTCTGTGGAAGAAAGATCTTTCTGGAAGGTGGGCTAGGGGTCTGATATCTGGCCTGGGCAGAGCTGACCTCAGGTGGCCTTCTGATGACGGATACACAGGACACTTCATTATATGACAAAACTTCCTCTGAGCAGCTCCCTGCTGCTTCTCTACCCAGCTTACTGGACCGCTCAGCCCCAACAACCACAAGCCCTTGTTTCTTTATTTTTTTTTAAAATCCTTTCTTTCTCTCCTTATTTGTTTGTTTCTTCACATGTGTGTGGACACAGACGTGCCACCCACACAGAGGTCAGAGGACAACTTGTGGCAGTCGGTTCTTTCTCTCTATCATGTTGGTCCCAAGGATTGAACTCAGGTCATCAGGCAGAGCTGAGCCATTTCATTGGCTCTCTGCTTGTATAGCTCAGTGTTCTGTCAGAGCAGAGCCCCCCCCCCCCCCGCCACCTCTTATTGAGCCTCTCACTTCATGGATGACTCCCGAGTTTCCTCTTGTTCATCTGTGCATTGCTGATTTATCTCATGGGCTGGGCTTCCAGAGGGAAAAGGGAGCAGTTGTGCTTCCCTTACTAGCTCAGGGGGAGCTCACGTGGTAGGGTGGGCACTGGTGGCAGAGGCACAGCCGTGGGAGCCTTCTGGCACGCGGTCAGGCCTTTGATCTCAGTGTGTGTCAAGGAGCACAAAAGCAGTAGCTTCCCAGGATGGTGGAGTGCGTGTGCGTGTGTGTGTGTGTACGCGCATGTGTGCGTGCGTGCGTGTGTGTGCGTGCGCGCGTGTGCGTGTGTCTGTGGGTGTGATGCTAGTTCTAAACTCTAAGGAAAACGGGAGAAGCCAGTGTTAGACGCCAAAGTATAGGGCATGTTGGGTAGGCAGACCTGGCTATGGGGTATTGCTCTGGCAAGTGCTTTCTGTATTCAGTGGAGTTTGCTAAAGGGATACTAAGGGGGAAGGGGAGAAGGAGGGCAGAGGGGGAGGGGAAGGGGGGAGAGGGAGAGAGAGACTGATTCTGAAATTCACCAAGTGCACCAAGCAAAAGAGAAACGGAATGAAAAAAAGGAGGGAGGGATTTACTTGGAAAGGATCAAGGAGAGAAGTTTTGTCCCCAGGAAGCACAGGAAATGGCTGTGCAGCCTCATCCTTCAGTCGTGGGGCACTGTGCACCTTGAATCACGGCTGTCCGTTTCTGGGCATTCCTAACTCCCATCTCTAAGCCCCAGGGCCTGATTAAGCACTTAGGAAGCACTCAGGACACTTAGGAATTTGGGGCCTTGGTATAGACACACTGGTGATGAATAATAGATTAAATAAAAGTTTGAAGATGCTGAATCATTCAGCAGTTGTTGCGGCCAGCCGGCTGACTGAATACAAACGTTGGCTACAGCCCCAGCCGTAGACTGGGGCTTGCCCTCTCCGGGGTCTTGGGCTAGAAGCCTCTTATCCTGTAGGCTGTTATCCTTCTACCCCCTCACCTGACTTCTGCTTTTCTCACATCCTTTGCTCCATGGGATTCTAATGACTCTGCCCATCTCTCCTTAGAGACCACTTGGGATAACCTAAGGGTGGTTGAGAGATGGGGCAGGGCCCTCTGGGGGTGCCTATTCCTGGTCAGTGGGGGTGGGTGGGTAGCCATGGTCTCCCCAAATACCAACCAACAGGTTCTGTGAGCTCTTGTACAACTGAGACCATCCTCATCATGACACGGGAGGACCCTGATCTCCGCAGCTGATCAGGACCAGCCAGAAATGCTGCCCAGGATCAGCTGCACCAAAGGAGGGCACTGACCACCTCTCACTCACTTTCCTGCCTTCTGATGGGCAAAGGCAGTAAGCCCAGGCAGGTGAAGCTGGCTTTCCGACTGCTGCTGGCCTCTGTGCTGCTGGCCACCCTGCCCTCCAGCCTCCCCTCCACCCCCTGCTGTTCTGCAATTAGGTCTGTCCCCTGCAGGCATCTTGGATGGAAGAGGTGTCTTTTTTGTTGATGTTGCTGCTGTTGTCTGGCAAGCCATCAGCAGCAGGATTGCACTCTCGCTAGCTGTGGAAAACATCGGTGATGGGTTTGTTTGTATTTGCCTAATTAGACAGCGAGAGCCACGATGCTATCTCAAGGATTGGCAGCGTCTTTGGAAAACACACACAGGAGCAGAGCTTCTGAGGAATTTTCTAGACCCTTCCACGGGATCAGAGGTTCAGAGTGTCTAGCTTCTAGTCACATCGTGTAGGTTCAAACTCACTTCCTCGCTCTCTCCCCCTGGCACTTCAGCTCTGTGTCTCAGCTTCCTTGCTGGTAAGTTGAGCACAGTGCTGGTCTCTCATGGGTGAAGATTAAAATGGGATAGTCCATGTAAAATGCCTCCTGCATACTGAGTATTCGACATACGAGCCCACTCTGTAGTTAAGGATGGCTTTGAAGTGATGTCAAGTCTACATGAACCTCCCCAAGTTTACAGGGGTCAGCTACCAACTATCCTCTATACCTGCTAATTTAAATACAAGTTGAGGAGCCTGCTGGGCTCAGGGAGTAAAGTCTTGCCATGCAAGAATGAGGATCAGAGTTCAGCTCCTCAGCAGCTCCCAATCTGGGCATGACTGTATTAGAGGTAAGGGGCAGAGAGCAGTTCCCAGGGCCTAACTGTCCAGGCAGTCCCGCCCACTGGTGAGCCCCAGGCTCAGTGATAGAACCTGTCTCAAAAACTAGGTAGAGACTGACTGAAGAAGACACCCAATATTGATCTCTGACTTCTATATGCACACACATGTGGTGGTTTAAATGAAATAACCCTTATAGGCTCCTAGGGAGTGACACTTTTAGGAGGTGTGGCCTTGTTGGAGTGTTTTTTTTTTTTTTTTTTTTTTTTTTTTTTTTTTTTTTTTTTTTTTTTTTTTTTTTTAAAGAAATGTGTCACTTGGAGTAGGCTTTGAGGTTTCAAATGCTCAAGCCAGGGCCAGTGTTACCCTTTCTTCCTGCCGACTGAAGATCTGGATGTAGAACTCTGAGCTACTTTTCCAGTGCCGTGTCTGTCTGTGTTCCACTCTGCTTCCCACCATGATGATAATGGATTAGCCTCTGAACTGTAAGTCAGCCCCAATTAAATACTTGCTTTTATAAGAGTTACCATGGACATGGTGTCTCTTCATCGCAATAGAAACCACAAGACAATGTGCATGGGCACACTCACCTGCACACACATGCATACATATGCCTCTCTGTCTCTCTGTCTCTCTGTCTCTGTCTCTGTCTCTGTCTCTGTCTCTCTCTCTCTCTCTCTTTCTCTCTCTCTCTCTCTCTCTCTCTCTCTCTCTCTCTCACACACACACACACACACACACACACACACATCCTCATTCACTGTGGAAAAAGTGCCAATGTCGGGGAGTTAGAGTTGGGGTGTTCATCTTGGAAGGGAACAGACAGGGTTTCATGGACTGAGATCAGTAACATAATTAAATCATTTTTTTTCCTCAACTGTTACTGTTTACTTTTCAAATAAAGTGGGGCAGGGTGGAATCTTTTTCTCCCTGTGGACAATCATGCATTCATAAGGCATCTGAGAAGTACCGTTCTTCCCAGGAGAAAAATGTTCTGTCTGCTCCTGAGAACGTGTTGACAAATATTCTCTTTCTGGCGTCTCATTCTTAGAGGCCAGAAAGACACTGCAGTGTCAGTGGGAGACTCGTGTCTAGTGCACTTAGGAAGGTGACATGAAACAGAGGAGGACGGAACTACGGCAGCAGGAAGTCCTGACTGGCCCTCCATTGCCCTGCCTTATGCACTCAGCAGATCTTGCTGAATTCAGTTGTATTCTGTTCTGTCCCTACTGACCAGGCAAGCAAGTAGTGTTTATGGAGCCCATGAGAACCTATCATTATTGTCAGGATAACGTTTGCGGATAGATGATTAAATACAGGGCAGATATTTCTCAGGAGCCTGAGCTTATGGCCTCTGCAGGAGAGAGTTCAGGGCCTGTCTTCCTTAGTGACTGGGTCAGGCTGGAGAGGCAGCCAGCCCAGACTTGTCCTTAGCACCCACAGGCCCAGATCCTGGATCCTAGAGAGCGAGGTGTGGAGCTTCAGATCAGAGATGCAATTATCTATGCCTTGATGATCACTTTATAATCTGTCCCTAGTGACCTTCATTTGGCCACTGACCTGATAAGACACTGGCCCTGGCCAAAGGCCGATGATACCATTAACCAGGAAGCCCAGACTGTCCCCCTCATCAGTCATGGTGTTGGTCCAGGCTCAGAGCTGCCCAGGGCATAAGCAATTCTCATTTGGGAAGGTCATAGCGTTCCCCCATATCTCTAGGGTACCAGAGCTGAGCATCTCTGAAGTTGGCCGGTTCCCATAACACTTAAACTTTATGGCAGCACAGTATATTTTGGAGATATTCTCGGGTATTTTATCTATGCTCAGCTGGGCTGCAGCATCAGGCCCCACGACTGCTATTGACCATTGCTATAATGTTTCAATATACATGTTTGGCAAGACATAATTCACATTTTAAAATATTAATTTCCCCGTGTTTCTGAGTGCACTTTGATTTTTATTTTCCTGCAGTTGTACAGCATGAACGAGGCGAAGCTACTTACCAGTCGAATGCGTATTTCTCATACATCCTCCATCCCCAGCCATTCCCAGATGGCCGGGGAGTGACACCCAGATCTGTCCTTCTGCACATCATGCCCTTCAGCCCAGCAGTCAGCCCCTTTCTTACCCATCCCAGGACAGAATAATGACGGAACAGGCAAGAGACATGAGGATGGCTGCAGTCTCTATGCCCTGGGGAAAGTGGGGGTTGGCAAGGTGTTTGAATGAGCTTCTGAGGTAGCCATGCAAAAGAGTTACCAAATGACATGGCCTGGCACCAACAGCAGAGCTGACATGCCAGTCAGCAGCAGCTGGAAGAGGCCCCCATCGTGCAGCTTGCCTGGGTGGCTGAGCAAGGCTGGCAGTTAGTGTAAAGCCTTTCTGTCTTTTTTTTCCCCATCATGAGATGAATCTTAGGAGAAACAGGCTTTCTTGTGAGTTTTCAGTTCATTGACTGTCTCCTTGAGTGGGAAGCTGGACCATGTCTTGATAAATGAGGATTTATATCGGGCCAAGAAACAGGAGGACTTCATGTTTGGAAATCAGACTTCACGGGAATCACGTTGACTTTGGGACGGATGCTGTGCTAGGTTTAGAACTGCCCAGGAGAGTGAGGATCAGTACTCATAGCCAGAGCCCCTTCGACTCCTAGGGATCTCGGTCCAGACCTCACTTGTCTGGAACGTTGAAGAGCTGGCTGGGGATTCGAACCATTAATGACATTGGAGATGGAGTATGGGAGTTCCATAGTGGTGAAGATGGGGTGAGGCAGTGTAGGCGCTCGGCCGTTGTGTATGGATGGGGGAGTCTGGAAGTACTCACTTGAGAGGTCTCTTCCTACACCAAGAGCCAAGCCGTCCTTAATCCACAGGACGAAGCCATCGTATTCTGGGATGGCACACAGCAGCGTCACTGGCTGTCCTGACACCACCACTTGGTCCTGAGGCTGTTGGCTGAAGGAGTAGACTTGGCCTGGGGAGGGAGAAGCACAGTGGTCAGTCAGCGTGGGCAGCAGTGTCTGGATGACTCTTTTCACACCCTATAAGCAGAGTCAGGCTGTCCTGAAGGTGCCAGCCTCATTCTCATCTTTCAGGGGCTGTCCCTGGACTCCTCCAGCCCCTCCCTTATCTAACCCTGATGTTGACTTTGGAGGTGAACTTCAGCTATCACAGGACAGTTACCGCCCATCTTCTTGTGGTATTCTCACCTAACTCCACTGATCAGGAGTGGTGATGGATCTAGTTCAACCTGGCAATCCAGACAATCTGTGTGGCTGGTAGGGCCTTGGCAGGACCTGGTAGCCGTGTTTACCCACATCTTTCTTATTCTATCCTTTTCTGCAGTTAGCTCTTACAATCTCCCCCTTGGAAATCACTTGGGAGTCTATGCCTCTCATCCACACCTCAAAGCAAGATGCCACAACCATTGAAGCTATTGGTTCATATTTTATTAAACAAATAGTTTGCTGCACACATGAGATACTAGGCCCTGTGCTGAGATTTTAAACATGAGCTCACGACTTCTTTCATTCTGCTAACAACCTAACCACAGCAGGCACCGTCTCTGTGTGGAGATCGGGAGGCTGGCATAAGTAGGGGACAAAGGAGAGTAGTGCTGAGCTGACTCTGTACTTGCGATGCTTGGTGTATAGCCTGGGTGTACTATGCTCACAGTGCCCCCCTGCAGACAGCTCTGCAAGACTGGGAACTGAGGCATCTATCAATGGTTATCTGAGGCAGGTTGGAGGCGGTGAACCTGTCTCATTCTGGCTCTGAGGGTTGTTCTTATCTGCTGAGCTAGGCTCCATGCAGCTCCCTAAGCCTCAGTTTGGGGACAGTCACTAAAGAAGGGAGATGATAACATGAGCTGTGTTCCTAGGAGACCACAATTGAGTGGACCGTGGGAAACTGATACTGACGACCTGGGATTACTGCACTCCCTTCTCCTAGAGAGAATCTAATGTTTCAGGGCAGAAAAAAATCACTATTTTATAGCAAAGAAACCAGGACCGGAGAGGCACAGCAGTCTACGCAGGATGACACAGATAATGAGTGGCAGAGGGGGGGCTGGGATGACACCCATTTGAGTTCTGAGCCCTCAGTTTTTCCCACCCCAACCCCAAAGAGAGAGAGATACTGAAAGAAGGGAAAAGAGGCTGGGAGCCGGCTGCCATCTCCTTTCCATATCACCATAGATGACCTGGACTTGAATTGCTGCCCCATACAGGGCTAACCTATGGGCACAGGGAGAGCTGAGGTGCAGGGGAGGGCATGGGGCCCCAATCAGCAGACAGTGGGGGCAGCAGGAACTTCTAGAGTTGACAACCTTAAGGGATCTTGGCAACCTCTCTGAGGAGTCTTATTAAAAATCAAATTGGTCTGGAATTGTGAGAGTAACACTTTTTCTTCTAATTTAAACTTTACAAATTAGATTACATAGGATATTTTAATCAGCTCTGGGTAGTAGTTTTTTTTTCCCTACTCTGTCTCTTAAGTTTTCCATTGTAATTAGGCTGTTTCTGGCACCAAAACAAGAGAGAAAGATGAGACAGAAGAGAAAGAGGACCGAAGGGACCAGCCATAAAGTAGGGGTCCAGAGAGGGAAGAAGGAGAGTGGGAGAGGGAGGGAGAGAAGAGACAGCAAAAGAGAGGAGAAAGAAGAGGCAGAAAAAGAGGGAGAAAAAGAGGCTGGAGATGGGAAACGGAGGGAGAACAGAGGAGGAGGAAGAAAGAAGAGGAAAGAGAGAAGAGGAGGAAGGAGGAGAGAGACAGAGGAAGAGGACAGGAGAAAGGATGGAGGGTGGGGAAGAGAAGGGAATGGAGAGCAGAGGAGGGGAGGAATAAGAGGAGGAAAGGAAAAAAGGAGGAGGAAAAGGAGGATGGAGAGCAGACAGGAGGAGCAGAAGTAGGAAGAGGTGAGGATAAGTGGGGATATAAAGAAGAGGAGGAAGAAGGGGGCAGGGCATCTTTCCTAGGCTTCTCTTCCTGCTCCAATCTTTTATCCTGGAATTTTTTTTTTTTTGCAAGTACAGTGTCAAGGCAGCTGCAGTAGCAGCCAAAGATTGTGTGATCAGAGGGAATTACCAGGTTGTCAGCCAGGGGCTCAAGGGGCTGTAATGAGAAAGCCCTAAAGGAAGGGGGTCCAAGCTTCCAAATGTCCCTTATTAGGAACTTCCCCAGGAGGTGGCTGTCTATCCACCACACCCCATCCTTTCTATGCTTCGTAGAAGGAACAGGAGGTTGTTGAAGATGCTTGGGGCATCCATCCCTCTGGGCAAGAGTGAGTCCTAGATAATCATCATGGAAGTCAGGCCAGTTGGATGGTAGGGGACACTGGGAGAAGAGGTCAGTGGCAACGCTGGGAAGGTTAACCACAAGGCCACCCTGGAGGGTTTCTCAGAACCAGGAGTCAGAGCATATACAGGATCTGCCCAATCACACCTGGAGGGCAAAGCAGGAGAGGTCAGAGAACTGCTTAGGTGCAGTTCTGATGGTGGTATATGGAGTGTTAGTCACATACTGTTTATGTTGGGACTCCCTTGGATTTTCTGTGGAAACCATGTTTCTAGGGGGAGGGGGCACACAAGTCTCAAAATCATCCAAAAGATGTGATTTAGAAGTTACTTTGGGGAGATGGGTGGAGACTGAACACCCCCAAACAAGAGTCTTTCTTTTTGGTTCAATTTTAATATCTTTGCATATGTTCAAGCCACTAAAATTACTCTGTCTCTCAGTGCCAGGTGTGGGATACGAGGCCTTGCAAACAGCATAGGCTCTCACTGTTGCTCTTAGCTGCCAACTGTAACTAGATAGTAAAAAATAGACACTATGATGACACAACAGACTTAGGTTCTAGAGATCAGGCCAGAGCTGAACTGAGAACTTTGTTTCCACTGGCTCCATTTGGGAATGCTAGAAGGTGCTATTCAGGCTGCAGGAGAAAAGGCACTAATAGAATTATCCAGCAATGTACTCTGAATGATACATATTAACTTACCAGGGAAAATGTGCCCACTGGAGCAATAGTGGCATGATGGTTATGGGGGCAACCAACTGCCTTCTGATTGGATTTAAGGCCCGCTCCCCAAAAGAAACTATTTAAACGGGCAAGTTGTCAGACTGTCTTCTAAATCTTTATGGCTGTACCCACAGATTATAGCCTAGCTTTCAATGTTTGTTGGAGAAGCTTTTGTGTATGTGTGTGTATGTGTGTGTGTGTGTGTGTGTGTGTGTGTGTGTGTGTGTAGCAGTCAGCAGCTAATATAGATTCATAACCAGTCAGAGTGTTGGGAATAAGCAACTGCTGAGTGTTCATCTGTAAATGAGATATAGCTATATTATCTCCTACCCCCACTCTTCAAGGCCCAGGGAGCAGAAAGAGTGGACAGAAAGAATGTTAGAGCTGGAGGATGGGGAGGTGTGCTGTGGCATGCTGTCTTCTGGGCCTGGATGGCCATTGCACTCATAAGCTCATTGTGGCTATGGTTGCACAAGACTGCAACTGCAGGAGCAAGCCATGAAATCAGTCCAGCATTCCAGCACACAGAATGGGGAGAGCCAGAGGGGCAAGTTGGGGGGTACATGGATCAAGATACATTTGTATACATATATGAAATTGTCAAAGAATAAATAAAAGATGTTAAAAATAAATAAATAAATATACTTTTTCTTTGAAAGTGGAGATACTTTTAATGATGGCTCTTAAACTTGGTAGATTAGGAAAGTCACTGAAAGTTGGAATCCTAGAGTAGAGCATGAGACTCTTAATCTCAGAGTCATGGTTTCGAGCCCCATGTTGGGCGCCAGTTGTAGTTTTTGCTGGCTTGTTGTGGCTGCCTGTGTGCAGTCCCTGTTTCCCGGAGTCAGGGGGTGAGAAGATGCAAAGTCAATGGCACAGACCCTGGGAGATTCCAATACAGAAGCTTTTTATTGATAACAGTTTGGGGATGTTTATGGGGTTAGGGAAATTAAACTGCTGCAGGAACGTTTCCGGTTGGTCCTCTGGAAACTGACGGTCACTGCTGGCGGGTTGTGATTAGCTAGAAGCATGCATCAATAGTTAACATGCCTTTGGTTCACTGACAAGTTGTCTTGGCCAATTTTGTTTACTCATTGTGAGTTTGCATGCACTTGCTTGTGCTTACACTATTGCCCTGTCTCTATTCCAGGCATTTTCCTGTCTCCTCCCACATCTTGCCATAGGATTGATGTAGATGTGTCCTATAGATCCTGTCTTCATAGGAATTTGGGGATTCAAACTCAAGTCTTCATGCTTAAGTGGCAAGTGTTTTCCCTCTGAGGCATCCCCTCAGCCTGGGGGTGTGCTCATGGGAGGAATCGTGGGACCCTACTTTTCTCTCTCTCTTGTTTCTCAGCTTGAAGTGATTAGTTTTGTTCTACCAATTACCTAGAGGCAATCAAACCTCTTGGACCAAGCCCTGGAGAACCATGAGCCATAACAACTCTTTTGTTTTCATAAATTGATTGTCTTAGGCATTATCCACATGTCAGAAGGCTGCCGAACACTCAGAGGCTCTCACACAGATGAAGGGGTTTGCCCAAGTTTACAACTTTATACTGTTACCCCAGGCAAAACTCGGTCTTGAGAGTCTGTGCAGCATCGTTCTTTCAGTACTACTCCACTGTGGCTAAGGAGCAGAACACCTGACCCTAGTCCAATTCTCCACTTAGCGCTCACACCACCATTCAGATCGCCCAAGGGTCTTTGGACTGCAGGGATTCCTTGGGCTTCCCCTGACTCCATGTCAGCCCCTTCCGAGGTGCACATACATGTAGCACGCTTAGGAACAAAGAACTGGCTTCCAGGCTTCGCTTCTTCTGCAGAACTTTTTCATTATCTTCTTAATTAACCACCTTAAGTTTCCCTTCCTCTTGAGACAGGGTCTTGTTATGTAGTCCGCATGACTCCTGAACTTGCAATCTTCCTGTATCTGTCTCCTCTGTGCTGGAATA